ATTTACTCTTGAGTTCAAATTGTAAACTCACATTATTTTCGTTTTAGTACTGAATAATATAAATTGCACAGTAACAAACATTAATATATTATTTGAATTAAATTTATCAATTTTACGTATTTATAGACTGAGATTTAAATGTCTGCGCAATTTATGTAAGATAACTCCATTTGGCATGAAAATTCGAGCGTTCTATTTTTCGCTCATTTTCAAGATAATTTAACCAAGTATCCTCATTTTTATTTATACACAGTGGAGCTCCTAACAAAGTATTTGGGAAGATATTTCGTATGTGTATAGTTCCCTATAATACGTGTAGATTATCGCGACGGGATTAATCGAAGATACTAATACGAGCGATCGACGGACGAAGGGATAATTAAAATTCGCCATGCGATTTCAACGAAAAACAAACCGATCAACGCTATCGAAGCCGACATCGACCGCGCGGAATCCTGTTAATTAGTGATGCAAATGCGAGTTGCAACGTTGTAAACAGGCGATAGGACCGATGCAGTCATCTTGTCTCTAAGAAGTCACAAAAGATTCATATAGCATGTTTATGGAAGGCGCGTTGCAGGTGTAACGTCCAAACTCTTTCGTTAACTCGCCGTACTTTTGGCTCACACCTTTGACAGGTTGATATTCAGTCTTTCTCAAAATTTGTCAAAACAGAATTAATTAAACTGGAACTAAACATTTATTGCTTTTCCAAGATTTTCATACGACAAGTCTATTTTTTTCTTAATTTGGATCTTTCGCCGTTTAATGCTCAATAAATAAGTATGTAATTTATATTTCCTTCGCGACGTTTTATCACTTTACATCGTAAACGTGATGTAACTTTTATAATTCAATAATTTACGAAGACAAAAATTGTGCTACGACCACTATCTTTAATGTCACAACTGCTATAATTGATTTCAAGAGATTACAATCAGGGGGGAAAAAGGAATACTTTAGATTACGCAAATGTGGCTTGGTGGAGAAGTAATACTACTGCTTTCTAGCCCGCAGCAACGACACCGTTGTGTTCAGATCCGCATTTCCACTTGAAGTCATTCGGTCATTGGAAACGCTCGCGACACCTTTCTAACGCAAAATTACCGCACTTTGCACATTTTTTTCCATCATAGGTGCGATACGATGTACGAGGAACGAAATTCACAATGGATAATTACGTTAAAGCATGTAATAATATTTTTTGCGCGCGGTAGACAACCAGTCAATCGACTATTGTTAAACTCTGAAATAATAAGAGCTGTCATATTCATTTCCGCGATCGTTTCTCTCGCGCTTACTTAGATTTTCCAAGGATCGAAAAGTCGGACCGGTTTGATCGTTGCACCTACAACTTCCAACTGAATTCGTTGGGCAAAAAGAAACGTCCCTATAAATTACATCGAACTTACGCGCATGATATTTTCCTCCTCGCGACTGCCGAGGACCATTATCGGTAAACACGCTATTAGCGCTGCCGTTGATCGGACCCAGACCAGGGCTAAGAGAGCCGTGTACCAATCTAGACCCATAAACTGGCCGAGTGTCCGGTAATAACGTGCGAACGCGCTATCCATCAGTCGGCACAAAACAGTTAAGCGGCTATAGAGAACGGCCGCGGTAATGAACGCCGGTCGAGCGAAGCGAAATGTCGGCGAAAAGAAGTCCGGCAGAACACGCGCTAAATCTCCCGTCAGGGAGGAACGGTAGTAGCAACGTAATTCGCAGTTACATCGTTAATCAATCCTATCGTCCTATCCTTATTACAATAATAGACTTATTACTTCCGACCCTTCTTTGTTATTCGGAGATTAGATCTGTTATTTTTGTCACGAATTCGACGATAATATATGTGCTAAAATACGCGAAATTTAATTCTCATACGGAAATAATAGTTGTAATTAAAATTGAAGATAATTCTTCGTGCAAAAATAAGTCGACATTGTGAGAGAACATTTTTCGTACGCAGCTTTTTTTCGAAAAAATTAATTTAAAAAATTTCTAACATATTTACATCTGTTTAAACTTATACAATACTCATTCGGAAGAAATAAAAGCAATTTTAATACTTCTAACATATATCATTTTTCTGTAATAATTTAAAGTTCTGTCAAAACGAAAATTTGACGATTAGCTAAATTTATTCGTGACGAAGGCACAATTATTGTCAAGTATATTCTTTCGTTTGTAGTATTGAAACTTAAGCGATTTGCATCATAATCATTTTTAGAGAATTAAAAAAAAATGTTAAGTACCCTTGAGCGAGAATGAAACATGTATCGAGGTTGAAATTGATTAGGTATGTGGACGTCCATCACATAGAGGAAGTACCATCACGCATAATATAAGACAGTCGAACAGGAGAGTGCTAGAGATGATGCAGCATACTTGGCTGCTAGTTAAGTACGCGAACCGTATTGCGTATCGATCGTTAATAATACTTCGATGTAGAATCGGATGCTGTAGAAATGCCATCTGCTGTTTCCATATCGTTTGCGCAGCCTAATTCGAGTACCTAGTAGTTTACAATTGATTATCAACCGCTCAGATCGTATCAATTAAAATTTCTCTCACGTTGTCCAGGTATAATTAGCCATGAAGGTGGCGAAGCTATTAAATTTCTGGAATGTAGATTGCGTTACACGTGCGTTTTTACACGAATTGAAGCACGATGATCTTATTCTCCTCATCTCACTTTTCGACCTCGCCACATATTATATATTGCATTTTATTTTACTCGAATAATTAGATCACTATCACACTGCCGACCTTATCTTTGTTTTGCTTTCATCTTGACATTTTTATGTGTGCAATGTTTAAACATATATTATTATGCTGTATATAAAATTAAATTATATATTTTTAATATTTATAAAAATTTTATTGAGAAAGCAATCTTCGTAAATTGAAAATAAAAAGTAGTCAATTCTTTTCTCTACATAGTTTTCTATAGTAAAAATAACTAAACAAATCTAAATGAGGAAATCTATCTGCATTACACAAAAAGGCTAAATTATTTCCGTTTTCCGGGATAAAATCGTTTTGATTTTATCTTTCCTTTGCTAATCGATTTGCTAATCGCGCTCGCAGAATGCATATGCATTTCTTGCACACCGACATAACTTGGGATGTAAGTTAAGTCGGAGGTATATTTCCGCAGGGCGTAAGCCTCCGGTCAACCTCCTAATCTGGAGAGATTCTCCCGGAGAGATTCTGCCGGCGGATGATGGTAACATAAATTTACCTTAATGATATCACGTGGATAATGCCGGAGTGACGCTATCTCGGCCAGTGAGAACCCACTGACACCTCAGTATCCGCACAGTTTCACGTACGAGCAATCGCGCGCGTTGAGAGAAGAGATAGTATCGCGATCGTGCGAGGTTTTCTGTGTCCGGACTTCTTCCTGTCCGTCCCTCACGTCATTTAAGTAGATCCGTGGAAGGAGCGGCGTGAAACCCCATTCGGGACAATGGTTATGCCTGTCAACGACCGCGAGTAGCTTTCGTTTCTTCTCACAGTGAAACGAAAGGATTACCTGAAAAAAAGCCGATATGCATTACTTTACTGCTATTTTAATTTTTCGATATCATAATCATGAATTAATAAATGTCTGTCACGTATTTCATTATTTTAATTTATAATTATTATTTATAATTATTTGCGTACAAAAGATTTTGATAAATTACGCACAAATGATTTTTTTAGAAATATATAAAAGTAAATTTATATTCTACCATGAGATACCTATCATGAAATATAACATTTCGAGGAAAGTTTTTTTTTTCTATATACTTAAAAAATTACCTTTAAATAGGTTATAATATTCTGTCAATTAGAGCATAACAGAAAATATTATATAATATTACCTATTTATATTAATATTAATTATATTAATTTATATTATATTTATATTATTTATATTAATTATATTAATTATATTAATTATATTATATTTATATTAATATTACCTATTTATTATTACCTTGAAATCTTGCTGGAAGCTTACGGATGTGAGAGACGACGAGAACGAACAAGTCGAGATAGCATCTTTAGATTTAACAATACGCTTTTTTACATCGAAATTAAAATCCAGATGGACCACCAAGGAGAGAAAGAGTTTCTTGAACGAAAGAACAGCGAACGGTTCTCCGGCTATAAAGAGGATCTTATAGGATAAAAAGAGTCACCGTTAGAACCGCATTAATATCGCTTGATAGATCCACCGGTAGCGTCAACCTCCGGGAGAGAGAGTCCTGTCGGAGAATAGAGAGCAGTTAGGATTGCGGCGTTGTTGCGAGATGTCTAAACGGTACCGGGAATCAGCAAAATCCTCTTCTCTCTTTCGCTTTCTCGCCGTGGACCGGTAAACATCACTAATCACTTCTCGATCCTACTTCCTGAACCGACCACGGCAAGAGTTGTAGCAGTTGGTTTTATTACCTCGTGCCACGTTCGCATCTGAAAATTGTGCCAAGAATACATCGCGAATTCGAGCGAAGATACGACACACTTGATTCTGCATCCTTGGATATTATTCAAAAACAATCAGCTATATTAGTAAGCGAGCGAATAGAGGGAAATTAAATTAAATTTTAAAATAAGGAATAAAAATGATCGATGAAATATAATAGTATATAATTGGCAGTGTAAAAAGAACATGTACAAAATTTGCAAGAAGTCAAAGACTACAAAACAAGACTTGCGCTGTCGACGTACATTTCGGACCGCCACTGCAATTTATCGTCAATAAGACAAAATGTGTAGATTCATTAAAAAAAAAAGAGTTATCCCCGCGTCACTGATCGGTAACCACCGCGTCCAACAATCGATCTTTTGCAGTCGCGATCGAAAGATTAGAAAAGTTTGCTTTCGATTTCGAAATCGCGCGATATTCTCATAATGTTCAACGACATATAATTCTTGCTGTATACTTAACAATTTTTTTTCAATTTTCTATAAAATTTTAATATCATATTTTATGATATTTTTTCCACGATATATACGCGCGACTGCAAAGGATCAATTTTCGGAGTATCTTCGTACGCAGATCACAGCTGATCGCAATCTCGGTCATCAATCATCCCCTTTTCGCTGATGCTCGATTCGAGGCTGTGAGTCGGACTTCGATCCCGGCTACGGCTCTGTTGTCTAGATGGCGTTTTGTTGTCGATGTCCTTTTTGAAAGAGTAAGTCATATCCTTCCTAAGGCTCTCCATCGGAGTCTTCCTCAAGGTATCCTCCGTGCGTTTCCTGAGCGAGCACTTGTTGCATCTGGTCGCGAGGGATCTCGTTCTCGTAGGTGGAGGACTTCCTCTTCCTCTTCCCCTTCCCTTTCTGCTTCGCCTCCTCCTCCTCCTCCTCCTCCTCCTCCTCCCTCCCCTTCCGGCTCTAGCTGCACGACGGCCTCGACCTCGTCCTCGTCTTCGCCCTCGTCGCGATACTCCACGGCGACGTCCTCGCCTTCTTCCTCGTCTTCTTCCTCTTCTGCCTTGTTCCAAGGGTGCTACGGTGTCCGCTTTGTACAGCATGTCGGGATTAATATTCAGGCTGTAATAACCGCGATCCCTTTTTAGAATACCATAGTCCAAGCCACGTTTCAAGGCGGTGTATATCTGCAACAAAAGAAAAGCATTTTTCTGTCGAGCTTTATTTTTTTATTTTTAAACAGTATATATTTATTATTTTTTTGTGAATTTTTTTATCGAAAAATATCAAATTTTTATAACAAAGAAATAGAGAATTAGGATATTTTTTGACGAAACGTATTTTTCCAAATTTTCGAAAATTATGAAGAAATTGAATATTGATTATCAATATTAAAAATCGGAAAAAATGTCATTAAAAGTGATATACATAATATATATATATATATATATATATATATATATATATATAATTTTTGTCCAAAAAAAAGAGAGAATTGAATTAATCTAAAATTTATTAGGCAAATTAAGATCACCTGCTTCTGAACAGTGGAATCCGATGCATTAGTGTATTGCGACCTGATGTAATTCATGATTTCCTTGGACGTGGATCCGCGGACCTCTCGCAGATTGCGAATGGCAGAAGCCACAAGGGCCGACATCTTCGGCTTCGTCATATTTTAGCTCTTCTTGTCTCCTCGTTCCTCGTTGAGAAATATTCTAGGATGTCAATGCTATGTGTCGTCTCATGAGCAGTCCTCGATCGCCGAGACTTTCGGAGGTCAGATACGAAGAGCAGGAAGAGATCTTGAGAAGCAGATCGTTGCCGACATCAATTTCGTAAATCCGCAATGATCTGGATGATCTCGAATAATCTCTCTCGCGGTGGCTTCCTTTTGCGACTTCCCGAAATGTGCGACGACGCTAAAGCAACTTGGACTCGGCAAATATATAAACTTGGAAATGGCGCATTTACGGCACGCGCAAACAATCACTAAGAAGATTTAATTAACCGATAAATCGGTCATAACTATGTGCCAAATATAATTTTGTAGAGAGAGGATGGAAAGTGTTGCTCGTCAATGGCGAGTCCGGAGATAACTGAGCTGTTGTTATTTGATGCGTTATTTTGTCAAATACGCGTTGCTAAGAAGAAGCCACGAGATCTAGATTCAAATCGCTCGTAAAATGAAGATCTTTCGATAATACCGGGCGATGACATAAAAATTACTCGAAAAATGTCATTCTTATTAATTAGCATAAATTTGATACTTGGAAAAAAATTGAATTAACTCGAGCAAATCAGATTATGAAGCATTTTTATTTTTATCATCTTGAAATTTTTTTCATTTAATTGAGATATTTAAAATTTATAGTTAGTATAATAATTACGACGCATATATATATATATATATAATCCAACGTATCTGAAAAGAAAAATTCTAAGAGAATCGATAGATTTGGCACGATTGAGAATTATCTTTCTCTCGAAGAATATATTTTGACAGCAATAACAGAATATAAGAAGACGTATTAAATTATACGATTATCAATGTTGATTTTTTATTAAATACTCTCGTTTCTTGCTCATTCATATTTTTCTAAAAGAAGAGAGAAAGTGTGTGACGCGATTCTTTTTTACGTTTTCTCACATAATTTACTAGTCGCTTTATGCGATACAAGATGGTACCGCCGTTCGAGTAAACGTCATGTAATCGAGAGATGCATGGCTCCCATATTGAGATCGCCTTAATTAATACGCTCATTTTCATATTTATAATAACCGCGACACGCATAATTAAGATTATGAAAAAATGAAGGAAATTTGCGATCGGCGACGATCCGCACGCGACTTCGATTAATCGTCGTTTATAATCTTTGAAGTGTCGCCGATGAATGTAACATAAGCTTGAACATAAGTAATATTAATGGCAACAAAATGTTTCTCGCTCGTAAGATAAGAGAGCCGTGCCTCACATAACCGCGTCTCTCGCTCGTTGAATGCAAATGCGCTTCCAGGATGCGCAATCCCGCGCGTGTATCTCGGAATCGCGACTCTCGCAACATTGTGTAACTGCATAAATCTAATGGAGGTTCGTAGGTCTCGTCGGTTCACGAGCTTTGTATACGAAATTATGCTTATACCGCGCGTATATACCGCATTGCGGTATAGAGAGGAGAGAGTTTCCTTTCTTCTCTACCCGCGGATCGTCTCTCATTATCCGTCTTTAACGGTGCCGGCGACGAGAAGAAAGAAATGAGCGAACGAAATAAAAAAAAAAAAAAAAAAAAAAAGTCGCAACTCGCGCGCGGAACGCGTGTATACCGGACGCGAAACGACGACGCTTGCCACCTCGTCCGGTAATTGGACAGCCGTGTGGGGATTCCGCGGTTTATACAAGAATAACATGGCAATTTAGCTCAGGGGCCGTTTAATACGCTAACGTGCGCGCTTTCGCTCACTCGACGACGATTCGTTCGTTAATCAGTACCAGGTGTCGCCAAGTAGCCGCCTCTCTTTTCGAATGCGCACCTGCTTGTGTAAATGCCTGCGCGTCTATACTCCAATTATTATTTATCAATGTCATTTGGAGAACGCGGAGGCACGAGTCGGCGAGGTGGGCCCGCATTTTATTATTCGCATCGCCCTTTAGATCTCTTCTTCGTTTATTTTCACCCGCAGCTTCTTATTCTCGCGAAACGCGCTTTAAAAACAGTTCCGCGAGAGCGGGTGCATTTTCACAATTAAGTCTGATTGAACGTGCCTCGCAAACATAATCCGTAATAATATATCATTTGCAGCAGTAAAGCGATTATTTTATTCCCCTATCTTATATCTAGATTTAATTTGCATTTTGGTCCTTCCTGAAGATTAAATTTAATTACATATTTAACATGTAATTATATACTGATTTCAATTCTTGCTTCGAACGTGTCTTTGATATTTCACTCGATCCCGCGCCGCATTGATCGATAAAATCACCGCGCATTATCCGAGTTGATGTCGCGAGATATTGCTTCATCGACTTTTCGTGTCGAGAAGACGCGGGCAAAAAAGCTGATCCTCGAGGAACTCTAGGAACGTAACTTTGTAACTTTGTTGCCCGGCACGGCTCGATGCGAACGAAACCGCGCTTTGTTGCAGAATTGTTGTATCCACCACGTCGGTCGGGATTCCAACCAGGCGACAGGACCTTAACAAATGTCGCACTATGTCAGGATAATTGCGCGCGGAATTCGAGCGTGTTGTTTCTAACGCCGTAGGAGAACAAAAAGTTTTAGATAGGATAAGGTTCCTCCCCAAAGATGAGCAAAAAATAATATTCAAAGTAGGATATAACAATGTTTGTATTATTCAATTTCTCTTCTACTAAAAATAATTTATTTTTGCGAATATTTAAAAAGTATTTCTGATTGTGTATAAAGATATGAAATGATTATTATTATTAATATTAACTACGTGCGAATTTGTACTTTATTCTCTGTTTCTTAAATCCATTTATGATTATCATTCTATTAAATATATTTATTAATTGTTTTAGTAAATTAATCTTAAAAAATCGGTTATATTTTATAAATACACACGTATTTGTTTTGTCAATAATTGTATTCTTATCACATATGTATAATATTTTAAATTTCTCATAATACAAGAAATGTTATTTTAAATGAGAACTTTTTTGAGTTTTTAGAAAACTACTATTTTAAACTAATATTTAAGTCTCAATTATAATTAAGAAAAAAATGAGTATCTTTTCCATTAATATTTTATTTCAAGGAACCTATTTGCATAATTATTTTCAATAATCTGCATTTGAAATGTGTCCACTCTCTGTCATTTCTCACGCCGCGCCGACAGAACCGCAGAGATTCCACGCTTCGTACATTTGTACGAAAGCATGCGTGCGTATATACACACACACACATATATATATATATATATGCGTGTGTACCCATCACCCCCTTCGCCACGGGATGTCCGGCCGGACAGAATGCGGTAAACTGAGCGTGACGATTGCCCACCGAGACATTTTTACACCTACGCCCGCTCTTTCCAGGAATCCATCGATCCCGATCCTCCACACCTCGCGGCCGTCTAACCGTGACTGCGCACCGGCGGAATTTCTTTCTCCGACTAAGACAATGTCGGGGACTACCCGGGGAGCGCGCACGTACGTTCGCGATTTTACTCGGCGTGGTCTGCTTCTTGTCTCCCTCGGACAAGTCGTTAGGGCATTGCCAGAGGAACGCGGTGCCGTTCGCAAGAAGTCCTGACAATCGTCGTGGATCTTGCGCCTTTTACGATTGCAACGCGCTGTTACTTCCAGGACACTTTGCTGGACGAATAAAACCCGTCAATCACATGTCCTACTTATTTCATTGCAAATTTATTTACGTCAGTTGAATGGTAAGCAATAGAAAATTCGATCTCTTTTAGGAAGATAATTGCATCGTTCTTATTTTTTTCAATTATTTATAAGTGGAGAAGTATTATTAATGTTTCGATACATTTCTAATAAAGAAAAGATAATCTTTGAGATTATTTCCATCGCTTGTTATTAAAATCTAGATTGAGAAACTACTTACTTACTTTATAATAGAAATTCTATAATTTTTTCAATGACCGCGGGTTAATTGTCCATAATAATCCGATAAAGACCTAAGGCTACGATCTTAGAGGTGTCACAGTTCGAGGACACAAATCGATCGCATTGCAAGTGTATATACCCGGAGCATTAAACGACGTTTATTAAACGATTCTTTGCACGACGGAAAGACAGCCTTCGCGACACGATATTGTCCGATCGACCAATCGACACATCGATCCATACGTTAGGCTCATGTAGCACGATGACGGCGATTGGTTGATCGAAGCACCTTTCTATCTTCGACGACTGACAATCGCGCGCAAGTCGAACATAACGTGTTATTCGCTTTGCATACTTGACCGGCGGCGCCCAACGCCGTTCATTATCCGTCATAAATGCGTTTTTTGCCACGCGAATCGCCATTTTGTATTAATTATCGGTCTGCTTCGAGCGCGCATCACATTAACGTTGTCCTCGGTGGCGCAATGTACAAATTATTTCGATCGACCAATCATCGAGTGCGTGGCTTGCGGCATAACGCGATCGGATATAAATATTACGCGCGTAATAAATAATTTGTATTCTCGGAACGGAGGGAGATCGGGGCGCGTGTTGACGATTTTATTATCATAATTTGTCCGACTCGCCTATCTATCAGCGCGACGGCGCAGCAGGTTTTAATTATTACTACACAAACTTATAATCTTTTCTTATATTATATTATCTTGCGGCTTATGTGTCGCTTATACTTTAGGGAAAGTGAGTATTATCCACAATCATAGATTTGTTGGCGTCATTTTTTCCATTTATTGGATGTGGTCTCGCTTTTGTAATATAACTTTACCAGAACATTGATTTCAAAAGAAAAAAAGTTGACTTAATTAAAAGTCGTTGATTCATGTTTTTTTTTTTTTATTATGTTACTTATTTTATTTTTTCATATATTTATATAAAACAAATAACATTCTTACTCTTTCATCACATACGCATGATTTATATATCATTTTCTTCATCTCTTGTGATCCGTTTACTATAAAAATTCATCATTAGAATACCAAGTTCTAAACATTGTGATATAACAATTATAGAAACAATTTCGATGCAATAAATCTGTTTCCTCCAATTATACGCATCCTTTGATTCGCCGAATCGGAATTTATAGGCGTTTCACGTGAGAGCACGGCGAACTTCCCGGAATGCATTTTTCTTTTCTCTTTCTTCTCCTTTCTTTATTTTCGTTTGCGTGTCGAGTTTTCGTTCGGTTTGCATAGGATTCGCGATGGAGGGCGAATTAATGCGCCGATGGGAAGGGGCGCAATTAATAAACCGGATTTATTAAACGATTACATTAGCGTAGCCATCGGCGGAGATTAATGCACTCGCGGCACTCGAACGTCTTATTCGCGAGGAAAGGCAGAAGCCGACAAGAAATATGATCTACGCGATGTGGGCACCGCTGCACCGCAGTAGCTTTAAGATAATTACGGCCACGACCGATCATCATTTTTGCAAAAGGCTAAAGTTCGAGCGGTAAGTCGGGCGAATCGAAATAAAGCGAGCTCCTTTAACGTCGGTTTAATTAGGGCGAGACGCATCGCAAAGACAG